CTGAGAGGAAATGAAACGTTTCGTCATCGAGATGGTTATAAGAAATAATTACATCGAGTAGAAATGATTGTCGTCTTGCATCTTGTTGGCACTTGAAAACAGATGACCTTAAACAGAACTTTGATTCTTTCTCTCATTTACATGATACAACATGACTGTACATTTCTAAACAATTTCTAAATAGTAAAATAACTTTACAGACCATCAATGTTTCCACTGACTGGGTTTTGGAAATGTTAACATGTTTGGAATTTGGTGCCAGAAACTCAAACTATTTTGCAAGTGTCCAAGTTGTTAATTCCCATTTTATTTTCTTTACTAATAATTACTATTTGCTTTGTGAATCAGAGGCTGAGCAAACAGTGGGAATGAAGACAGGCAAAAACGGTTCTGTGAAGTCAGACATTAGTGGATCTGGGTTGGTTGCACCCAAAGCCTCAAAGTTTTTTTGTTTTTTTTTTACATTAATACAAATTGTAAGGTTGAATCAATCTAAGAATATAAGCCAGTTTTTGGATTTCTTAAACTATATTCCCCATTTGCAGGGGAATATAGTTCCCCTGCAAATGGGAACTATTTGCAGGGGAACTTTTACAAACAGACACGGTGTCCTGACCTGTCTTAAATGAATTGCTAAACGATTAATCGATGTCTAAATTAGTCGCGATTTATACGATTAATAATTTCAGCCCTACTTCATATTAAACCCTATAAATTAAAAAGAAAATGTTGAATGAATTCATATCTATTCAAAGATAGACAAGCAAATAACTTTGGTAATACAGTGTAAAAACAGAAACCTTACTCTATTTTAGTGTTGGGATTAAACCGAAATGATTTCACTCTGCTAAAGTTGCTCGGTCAAATATTTACATTTTCTACAAGCGTTTCTTCACAGACCAAGGCAGTTGGTGTTTCCCGACTTAAACCGGAGGGAGACTTACCTGTTGGACACGATACCAGGGTAGTAACTCTTTTGGTTCTCGTCCACCTTCATATCGCTCATCAGGACAAAGGCAGTGTGTCTGCCGTAGGCTCGGATTACGCTGGAGCCGGTGATGGTCTCAGAGAAATGGGAGTATATGGGAGAGCGGCTGACCGATTCCAGGCGCTTAAGCTGCCGTGACGTCGCAACGTAAAATCTCTACAGGCGTCGAGGATGGAGAGAGACAAACATGGCGTTACAACCTGACGAGGCCCTCGCACGTGTTCAGAAATTACAGAAAGACAAAAATGCACAAAGATGAGTTCAAACACACACACGTACACACACACACAAACATGCGCACAAATAGTAATAATAATAAAAGCAGCTAAAAAAAAAAAAGAACAAAACACCTGCAGAGTTATTTGATATTCCGGGTTTCAGATTTGATCATTTGCCAATCGCCATCAGCTCGTAAGCAGCACGCCGACCTCAGGAATGCTGTACGCTCTCTGTGCTGAGGCATGTAAACACTTTAATTAATTCGCCGGTGCGCTGCTGGATAGTAATGTTGCAACAACAACTCAGCACCAGTGGAGTGGAGCTGCTGGTGTTTTGTTTTTCATTACAGATGCAGTATATTGTCTTAAAAAAAAAATCACATTTATAGTCTTGTAAAGAGGATTCATTATAAAGTGTTAGGAGCCTACAAGCCTTTAGTATTGACAGTATGTCCTCAGCTTGTTTCCCAGATCAGTTCAGGGAAAGAGGGAGTAAAAAACAAAACAAAACAGAAGAAGAAACAAAGAGTCATGCAGCAAAGAGCAGACCATGCAGGGTGGATGTTATGAAAAAGCAGCAGGACAGAAATTACCCTGTTATTACCGACTTTGCTCATTTGGAGGTCCAGGTAGAATCACAGCATGAACACACACAGAGTCTTCCTTCGATAACCACCAACTCTGAAGTCTGGCGCGTAAATACTGATGTGCTGGTTTTGATCCCAGACAGGCAGCGCTTTGCAAAAGTGTTCTGAACCCTCGGCATTCTTCACATTTTGTTTCCTCACAGCCACAAACTTGAATAAATCGTAGGGATTTTATGTCGCAGACCAACAAGTAGGGCATGAAATTTGATTTCCAAAGATTTTTTTTGTTCCCCCCACTGATGAAAATCTGTAAAGTGTGGCATATATTTACATTCAGGCCTTTTAGTCTGACACCAGCACAAATGAAACAAACAAATAAATGTCTGAATACAGCAAATCTAAGCATTTAGTGCCACTTTTTTTTTTAGCATAATCAAGTAACTATGTTAACTTCAGTTGTTAAGAAAATGCCATAAAAACACACATATAACTTAAACAAAATTACCATGTAGTTCAATGCCTTAAAACTGGGAATCTGTCTCTTTAAAAACTCCTGTTCTTTTAGAAACTCCGCCCTTCAGGAAACTATCACAACATTAAAGTTTTTACCAGCGTTGCTCTGAGAAGTAGCTCGTATGATGAGCTCTGCAGGTGTTTGCTAATTGCTGCTGGCTAGTCTGAAGGAGCTGACTGGGAAGTAGCAGGGAGGGATGCTCTGTGAGTCAGAAGCTTGAAAGCTTGGAAGCTGCAGGTTGGAGGTGGAGCTGCGCCCTGATGGCAGTGCTAGATCTGACCAAGCATTTTGCATAGCTGAATGGTTGCCAGATGGTCAAAAGATTTCTCAAACAGGCATGAAAGAATCAATCAACACTCAGGTATGTTTTTGATGAGGGAATAACATTATCACTTGATGTAAAGCTCAAAAAAGTCAACTTTTGATTCAGCAGATTTGAACGCGTTTCCATTTTGTTGTACTTTCTGTTGGTCTGTCAAATAAAATCCCCAAAAAACAGACTAAAGTTTGTGCTGGTAAAATATCAAAATAACAAAAGGAGCATAAACACTTCTGCAAGTCACTCTTAAATGTTCCTAAACCAAGCCCCATGAACCACTTATGCCCAGTTCTCCTTCTGATTGTCAATATGATGCCTCAAGGAGCTCAAATCCCTTGGTTAGTAACCAGCAGTTTCAAACAGTTGTACAAAGCACTAAGTAGCAGCTGATTTTTTTTTACAGTATTCATTTTTTATTTGAAAATCGCTCAGTAAAAACGTGATTACTGCGAGGATAAATGTTCCACACACAGAATGTAGTTCTTTTTAGACATCAACAACAATGACTCGGTAGGCTACTTTAGTCACTTTGTGGACATTTTTAAATAATATTTAGCCAGACGAATTATATTGCAACAAATATTGCGAAAAGAAGATGTGTAGCTTCTAAGATAATTGCCAAGCTAACGTTTAAATTAGTCTCTGGAAACAGTGATATGGGTAAATATTGTCATATCTTCAAGATTGTGAGGTATTTAAGTGAAGCAGAGAAGCAATGCTGCTGGGTTGAAAGTGTAGAGAAATATATACAATATATGTAAATATTGGTTATCAGTTTTAGCAGCAATATCAATATTGAATATCAATACAAGCCCAAATTTTAATATCGGTCCATCCATACACTTAACTAATCAAAACTTGTAGAAGCTCTCAGAAATCATACCACAAGTTTTGTCTGTGAGCATAAAGTTTCTCTGGTAAGAAAATCTAATGTTACACTATGATTTCTGCCTTTTATGTTGTCCTTTGTTTTAGATTTTGATTGGAATGTCAGAAAGTGTCCTTCGAATAATCTTTTTGCAGCTACATCACTTTAGCAGGTAAAGCCTCCCAAGTAATCTGTGTATACAACAGAGGAACTTTCAGCTGTTGCCATTCATTAGAACCGGATGTCTTGCTAATGATGGCAGAAAATAGACAATGCTGCATCACTGGCAGAAACCGTTTATTTATAGTCTTCTGAATCACAAATTTACTCAAAAATGGTCATTCGCTTATGGGAAATTAGACAGATTGGGTTTACCAGAATGGTTTCAACTTCCTGTCCAGAAAGAATTACTCTACTTTTCTCAAACAACATTTCTCCCGGCTTCCTCCTCCTTACTGGACAAATGACCATACAATTATTTGCGTTTTAAAGTGGAGTTTTTTATATTACCACTTTTCTGGGTCTCCATTGTGTTAAACTTGATACTCTATAGTTGGGTGTTTCAAACCTCAGGAAGCTATGTACGGCACTTATTGTGTGTTTATTTTGTTTTTTTGTTTTGTATTTATTTTTGTCATCAAAAATAAATACAACTAAGGTAAGCTCAAACTTAGGCCTAATCTACATTTCATCCACACGAAAACGCTGTTTAATATTTAATAAAAACAATTATTTATAAAAACTATGACCAGAGCGGAGATTTAACAAAAAAACTGTTTAAGTGTGAGCAAAGAAAAACTTAGACTTAGTCCCGTGCATTACGGTGATTTAAAAAAAAATCCAGTAATAAATCCACAGACTTACTTTGACATGATTCCCAATTAACATTTTCTTGTGTTTTACTAACTTTATATTCTAATACGCTACTTAAAAATAGAACTTGTAAAACCTACACATCTGTTTACACAAACGAACCTCCTGGCGCCTCGTTTAAATCCCACCAGTAAGCTGTGGTAGTTTTGAAGCAATCTGATTGGCTGTCAAAGGTTTTAGCTTTGCTCTACACTGCCCCCTGCGGGTTTGGCATGTTTAAAACAACGCTCAGGAGCGGATCTGTGCGAGTTCATGCGGATGAAAACTTTTCTGAAAACAATCAAGTGTGTACGATATATTCTTAAATGTCATGAAATGAGTTACTCGTTTTTATACGCGTGTACAACGCCACAGTTGAAAAAGAAAAGCTATTAGTATGATGGCAATAATAGACCTTTGATGTTAGCCTTTAAAGGGGATCAACAAATTTATTTGTGCCATAAATAAACCCTGCCTCAAAGAATTCACTGTAGCAAAATTCAAATTTAAATCCAAAATTTCAGATTTTTCAGCTAATGTTTTGCTGCACATCAAATACGATTTGTTGACGTAAACAGCCCAGCTAAATTCTGCTACTAGCTAACGCGCTCCCGCTCTAACCTTCGAAGCTACTACACGTGAAGCTGCTACTACTACAAACTAGCAGAAACAAATCAAACCACAGCCGATCTAAAACACTACGGCGGCAACGATTACTGCCTCAAACACATACAGCAGTCTATAAACACCACACTCGCTCGGCAACACTCACACCCATGCATGTTGTATTCATGAGTTAGCACACTTGTTTCCTATTTACCTGAACCCACCAATAGAACACCATTAACGGGGCTATGACTATGAGGAACATTGGGGTGAGGGCAGAGCATATGAGCAGCACATTCAGTGTGTACCAGAAAGTGCGCATCCATATGTCAATATTATCGGGGATGTGGGAGTCTATAGCATCCACGTCTTTGCTGAAGCGGTTCAGTAACCGCCCAGTCGGGGTGCTCTCGAAGAAGGCCTGCGGGGCTCGCAGGACCCCCTGCAGCATGTTGCGGTGTGTGAGCTTGGCCGCCCGCAGCATACAGTAGGCCCGGCACAAGAGGCAGTTAACCAAAATGAGCACACCTGCGAGAAGGGGGAGGACAACACAACAACACCTGTGTTAAATAGTTAAGGATCTGCTCCGACTGTCTGCCGTACACAACAAGTTCAACTTTCTCAGATCAACAGAAAACTATTAACACCTGATGAAGTGAGGAAAAAATAAAAAGTTACATCTGTATTTTTATTTTTCATTTGGCACAGGACGTTTTGCTCTGTGGAAAAGTGGCATTCTTCACCGTTCTGAGGGATTTTCTGTGCCTGCAGAAAAACATTGTGACTAAGAATATCAGCTGTTTCAGTAAATCAGTTTGGCTTGTTGATTGTGAATAAAGTGATGAGTGCAGGCAGTGGTTAACTGAGGCAGAAACACTTTATAATCCACCTTACAAAAACTTACAAATAACTCTGAGAAAGAAATTGATGCCATCCAGGCAGCTGTATACTGCAGGTAACATATTGACTGGTTAAAAGCTCTCCGCAGAACCCCACTTTATAAAAATATAAACTACTAGGAATTGACATTGACCCTAAAACAAATTAAAATGTGTACACCTAAAATTCATAGATTCATAGCGTATGCCAGAGGTTTTCTTTTTTTACACAAGAATCTGAAAACTGACAGACTGGATATACGGCGTCTGGACTTTAACTGGGCCAGTTTAATACTTAATATACTTTTATCTAACCAAGTAGCACAATTATTAAAGTAGCACAACTATGTGAAACTACCTAAAACTTTAAAATAAACACATTGAAATTTAATGGCACAAAATGTGAAAAATTTAAGGCTTATGAAAACGTTTGCAAACCATTGTAAAATCCAAAGCAGTACGGCACTTATTGTGTGTTTTTGTTGTGTTTATATTGATTTAAGAAAAAGAAAAAGTGAACTCTGATAGTGTGCACAACAAGCCTATGTAAACATGGGAATCCTTCATTGTTTCCAATCAAAACAAATCTTTAAAATGTGGCTGGCCTTGTCTAAAAACGAAACCGCTTACAAAATCTTTCAAAACATTGATGCACTGTGGTCTGAAAGGAGGGAAATGAGAGGAACTCTTATCAACCCGGAGCAGCTGTTATTACGCCACGGGAGATCTAAGGTGCTCTAGGTTTCCATGGCGATAACCTAAACATTGCACAACATTGTAGAGATCGTGAGAATATCACTGATGCAGCAGTGATAACCAACATGGACACCCTAAGAGTAGAAAGAGCGGCCTACTTTAAATTAGGCTGAGATGCATCATCATGGATCCACTAGAGGGCAGTAATGAGCTATTTAGGACAATTTCTACTACTTTGACAATGTCTTTTACCCTTAGAACAGGAGTGGGCAACTCCAGGCCTCGAGGGCCAGACTCCTGCAACTTTTAGATGTATCTCTACTTCAACACACCTGAGTCAAACAATGAGGTCGTTAGCAAGGCTCTTGAGAACTTGACTGCACTGAGGAGAAGATTCAGCTGTTGGATTCAAGTGTGTTGGATGAGGGAGACGTCTAAGAGTTGCAGGACATCGGCCCTCAAAGACCAGGATTGCCCACCCCTTCCTTAGAAGGATTATGAGATATGTGTGTGTTGTGTGTGTGTGTGTGTGTGTGTGTGTGTGAAGGGTGTGTGGCAGCACGCTGCAGGCTGGACAGAAGTGTATTGGGCTGCAGGGAGAGAGCAAAGTAAATCCAGCAGCAAAGAGGAGTAAAATCAGCAGCAGCACGAGGCGCTCATCATCGACATCACATGCTAAGGGAAACAAAAGCCGTAACTGGAAGGTTAAGAGATTTGCCGCACCAAACATGCAGGCCGCATGCCACTCCAGGAGGAGGAAGAGTCAGACATGAGCAAAGAGGAGGACAGAACGCTTTTACGGCACAGCAGACGGAGGATCGCCTGCCCTAGAGTACCTGGACAAAGACGTAAATGAAAGCCAGGGGGGCAATGACGACGGCGAAAATGGGCGTGCTGCTAATGATAACGATCATGGTGGAGAGGGAAACGAAGAAGGTCCCGAGGAACATGAGCACGGTGGACGGCAGCGCCTCGTCGATCACGTAGATGTCCTTGGAGAAGCGGTTGATGATGCGTCCTATGGGTGTGGTGTCAAAGAAAGACTGGGGTGTGTGAAGTTTGTTGTCGAGCAGGTTAGCGTGCAGCTTCTTGGCTGCGCCAATGTTCCCCATGGCTAGAGTGAAGGAAGAGATCATGACCAGGATACCTGGGAGGGGGTTGAACCACAGGAGAGGGAGAAGAAATGAAGGTGCAAGGTGGAGACACTGGCAGGTCGCTAGGAGAGGAGGTGCGGCAAACACCAGACTTCAGATCCACAGCCTCCTCCGTGCAAAAACTGCTTTCTGTCAAGCATAATGAAATCTCTCTGCACAAGAAAAACAACAAACTACCTGCAAATCAAACCATATCAGATTAATTTTCCAGTACCAAGAAGCTGTGTGGGTGGAAGTGACAAGCCGTAGCATGAACTCAAAGTGTCTATGCTCAATTTCAAGACAAATAATGAGAAAAGACAAGTTTAACTTTTTAAAAGATGCTTCGATAGTCGGTGTCTGGTTTCTTACCTTGTGTAATGCCCAGTGCTGCGTACACCCCCACCCTCATGTTAACGTTTTCCTTGGTCTGATTCGTCAACGAGTCACTGGTCCACTGGCTGAGCCAGATGTTGGCGCCGATGGCGGCGGCGCTCTGGCAGCCATAGAGCAAGCAAATGATGACCGACAGCACTAGTCCCACTGCCTTCGCGTACTCCAGGAACACTTTGGATTTTACCTGTGTCAAATTCACAAATGTCAGCAGCAGGATGGTTTTATCAGCAGGTTTAACCAATTCAAGTTTAAGACCTTTTAAGACCATTATGAAAAAAATTTAAGACCTGTATCGGTAAGGAATTGTACAGAAGTGTCATATTTTCTATATTTTATGATGCTCTCTACAGCCGTTACCCCCGTAGTTCATCCTTGTATGGGATGGCGACAGAAGACGAATGTTGTCCAGCAAACTGGCGATAAATTTGAACTTCCCCATAATAGACGCAAAAAAACTTAGCTAGCTGTCCAGCTACGTAACAAGAGTAAATTAGCAGCTTGTCACCGGTGGGGGCAACCTCCTCGAGTCACAGGATGCAATAAAGATGTCTGCAAGCAACTCAAACTTTTGCCTGAAAGAAAAGTCCTGCGAGAAAAAAAAAGTATTTAACTAGCTAGCTAAATGTTAGCATGTTTTCTTTTCCTTTTTTTAAAGATTCAATTATTTGGCTTGTTATATTTTAATGACGTCCTTGTTAAAAATTTCAAGAGAAAACATTATTGTGCTTCATAAATTTAGTACTACGCTTTGAATGTCATAACATTTAGTGACTAGTGTTTCAGCTGCTCTCTGCTCAGCTTTTCCCTACAGCTGTCTGGCTCACAGAGCAGAGAACAGGTATGGTCATCATGAAGGCTAAAAAACTGTTTTTATAGGAACTTGTTGACTTGTAAATCATTACAAGCGATACCTGGATAAAGGCAAACATCTATACAGACTGATCAAGTAAATTGCATTGAACTGCCTGATGGGGTGAGTTAGACATGAAGTTAGGAACTTCAGGGATCAGGGATATCTCTAATGTAAAGGGCGAAACATCTGAACCTGCTATTCATTTTTTAATTAACCAGCGTTTTACACAGAAAAGTACAGAAACAAAAGCCAATGACCAAATTGCTTTAAAAAAATCTACAGCAACAGATTTGTTTTTGAAGTAAAATATTAGTGACTTTGAAAGAAAAACTTTCACTTTAAAAGAATTGATGCAGTCCAAAACTAGAAAAAAACCCAGAACAAAATGTTCTCAACTGACCCGGCCCGTTTCTGCCGTCTCTGCCTGGATGAGTTTCTGGACCTCCTGGGGTTTCTTCTTCTCCTGAGCCTCTTGGTGCTTCTTCTGGCTCTGTCTCCTGACTGAGCGGCACCGGAAGTTCTCGCTGTCTCCTGACAGGATGCTGATCTGTCTGAAAACCAGAGAGCGGCCAACGGATTTAAGTCAGTGGACATAAAAACAGAAAGGCTGTCTGATTCCAGTAGGATGCGGTTATGGAGGCTTTACTACTTCTAATTTCTCACACCTCATAAAACTTTTCTTTGCCTCATTAACCGTAGGTTCGTTGTCCACCATGTCCGTGTGGTGGTTGCTAAGGACGTCGTCGGGGAACAACTCGTCGTCTATTAACTCATCTGGGCAAACAGAAAGAGACAGCGTGAAACCAGCAAACTCAGCCGTTAAAGTCAGAAGGGTTTGATGGGAAGACAGAGAAAGTGTTGCTCAACCGGTGGCCTCGTCCTCCTCCACGATGTCTTCCAGAGCGTAGTTCCTGAGAAACTCCGCGAAGGCCCCGTTCTGCTTGAGCAGCTCCTGGTGGGAGCCCATCTCCGACACCCGGCCTTCCACCATCACCACAATGTTGTCCACCTGCGGCAGGAAGCTGATGCCGTGCGTCACCAGGATGCGAGTCTTGGAAACAAACAAAGGAAATGAATCAATACCAATAAAAGAAACCCCAACGGACACACCTTTTATTCCAAACCCAAGTTCAGAGAAGTTTTCCACACAGATTCCCATCAGAGAAAACAGGCTCTTATCAAAGGCTAAGGATTTTGTTTACGACACAGAATGAGTCATTTACTGATAAAAGCCGATACGGCTTCCTCACTGGGAGAGCGATAGGATCCAACTTCCTCTCCCGAACGCTGCGGTGGTTCCAGTACCTGAGAGTTTCCTCACCTTGCCTTTCAACATGCCCTCAGGGCCGATGAGGTTGTCGAAGATGTGCTTGGACACGTGGGCGTCCACGGCGGACAGCGGGTCGTCCAGGAGGTAGACCTCAGTGTCGCTGTACAGAGCTCGAGCCAGGCTGACCCTCTGCCTCTGACCGCCGGAGAGGTTGATGCCCTGCAGAGAGACAGGATGGCGTCATCTTCTGTCACATTTTCTGTTTTATATGTCATCAAATCAGAAAACAAAAAATTAAAAACAAAACATTTTAGATTAAGAACACAAGACTTCCTGTAAGGAAGTGCTGCAAATGTGTTCATGCATGTGGGATTTTACGAAGCGTAATGAAAATTGTGATGCTATTGGTATGAAAATTTTAACTCTTTTTCTTAAATACCTCACTCAGATTAGAAGTATTCAGAAACCTTTGCTCTTCTAAATAAAACCCAATGTGACCATTTCTCTTAAAACATTATTTAATTAATAGATGTTTATTGAAGAGTTTAAAGAGAAACGCTATCGTACGAAGCCATAAGACGTCCCTCTTTTCAGTTTGCTTCAAGTTACATAGGAAAAAATGAATGTTTCGGCCAACACGCATAACCTTGAACACATGGTGGTGGCAGCATCATGGTGTGGGGAAGCAGCAAATCTGAAATATTTTAACCCTTCATGACCCAAGTTTCAAATCTGCCTGGATATTTTTGCTTTTTTTAATTGTACGCAGTTCTTTATGAAAGTCATATGAGTAAATATATTTGCCCATTTATCCATAACAACTCAAACTTTCAATATCTAGCAAGTTATTTACGCAATTTAAATAAATATGGTAAAGATTTTCCCTGCTATGGCGGGGTTTCACAATATCGAATGAAACCCGATATTGTCTGGAAAGTGCAACGTCTCCCCTTTCAGAAACTGTTTTCAGGTAGAGCAAAGTGTGGCGCAATTACAGTTCTGCAAATGTGGCTGGATCATTAGCGCTCAGTTTGGTCTGGAAGGGTTAACAAAACAGAACAATCCAGGAAGAAAACCCATTGGACACCGCAGAAAGGCTTACAGTGGAAGAGTTTGCGAAATGTGTTGTGGCCAAGTCAAAGTCCAGACCTTCCTTCAGTTGAGTATTCACACCACACTTTTCAGAACTTATTTCAGTATTTGAAAATGATGCATC